TTCAAAATCCTTCCTGGGGGCTTCCTAATACACTGAGAAGGGAAGCCTCTTGGCTGTCCCTGCTCCAAGACTCTCCATGGCCATCTCTCAAACTTCATCTCTTCACTGGGTGTTGTGCCCTGGCCATATGACCCCTTTGTCCCTGTGGCCTTTATACCTATTATCACGACAGTTTCGCGTGACAGATTTTTTTTTCTTGTCACTTAGGACCTGTTTAAATGTCAGCTCCTCCGAGGCATGACTCCCCACCCCCACCCCCACCCCCAGACTGCTCCTGTCTGTGCTTTCACAGAGCATATATTAAACAGCTGTTGAATACCAAGAAAGGGTGAGTGACCAGGGCTCCAGTTGCTACATGAGATTGTTCCATGACAAAAGAAAAAAAAAATCTTCACTTCAACTCCTCTTGAAGGAAAAGGAGAGAGGCTGTGACTGGAGACACTTGCAAGCTGTGGGGGTGTCTCTTTAGCAAATGATTGGATCTGGCCATCCAGTGGATCTCATAGATAGTCAAAGCTCCCATAATGCCTTGAGCCCTGGACCACACCAATTGATCCAGAATCCCCAGCTTTTCCCAAAAGCTCTCAGTGTGACCCTAATGTGAAGCCAACACTAGTGTAGGTGTCCACACAGCTGTGTGCCATGAGCCTGCACCCTGAGGTCAGCACCAAGAGTAGCAGTGCCTGCCTGTGATGAAAGCCCCGTGGGCTTTTATTTTCTTTCTGTCTTTGCAGAAGGGCTCCTGCTGATCTAGGAATCCTTTACCTTGGAGAGAATCCATTTGCAATTAGAAGTAATTATACTTTCTTTTTCTCCATAGACAAGGGCCAGCTCCTTACTTAGGCCCTTATAATGCTACGAGTGATCAGGAGGACTGAGGAGGATAGAGAGATGGCTCAGTGGGCAAGGTGCTGTGTAAACATGAAGACCTGCATTCAGTCCCCAGAACCCACGTGACAATCCAAGCATGGGTGCCCCGAGCTTATAATCCCATCCCTGGAGAAGGCAGAAAGAAGCTGGGGGTTGGGGGTGAGGTCTCCGGGGCTTGCTGCCCAGTCAGTCTAATCAGTGAATTCAAGCCAATAAAAGACCCGGTCTCAAAAACCTGAGGAACAACACCCAAGGTTGACTTCTGCTCTCTGCATACATGTGCATGTATGTTCACATACAGACACACACACCGCCCCTGATGAACAGGTGCAGATACAGGTGCACATATAAAAATAAGGACTAGGGGGCTGGAGACATGACTCAGCAGTTAGGAACACTGTTCTTGCAGAGGATCCAGATTCAGTTAGCAAACTCCAGTCCCAGGAGATCTGACATCTTCTGACCTGTGTGCACGTTCATGCACACAGGCAAAACACCCAGGCACATAAAATAAAATTTTAAAAATTTCAAAAAAGGACTAAGGAGAAGGCAGACAGGCAGCCT